CAAATATATTCATTATCACATAATAATTTTTATATTCTTGTGCTTGTGAAATTATAGTTTCTTAAATGCATGGATGCAAGTAACCAGTTTCTTTTAGGTGCCTCCCAATCTTACTTTGAGATTGCACGTAGTACACGCAGGACACGAAGGCCACGTAACCCACAAGGCCGTTTGTCTCTTTCTCTGGGATCAGTAGAAAGATTAGAGGGTCCTAAAGGCAGCGTGGGCACATATGATTCTTCGCTGGACATATGGTCAAGCTATATTGAGCGTTACTATCAAACTTTAATTGTTGTATTAAAATGTATTCTTTCCAGTATATTTCCTTCCTTGGGAGTAAATGCCAGTGATCTGTTTTTCTCCCAAACGAGTGAATGTTTTAGCAGTATGTTTTGGTATACTTAACTGATAATAAGGAGCTCAGACTCTCTTCAGCCTTGATGGGAGCTGTTATTTGCTAGTGTCTGTTATTTGTGTGTGTGTGCGTATGACATTCTATGTAGGTTCTGGACGGTCGGACCAGACACCCCGGCGCCCTTCTCTAACCTGCGAGGCCACCACAGACCTAAATCCAATGAGTGGACGACAACTATCTTTACTAATGGCGATAGGCACCCCTATCTCCTCACATGTGTTAAATTGTTTAGGCTTTAATGTTTCTTAGCCAATGAGAATCATTCAACCTGTAAGCAATGACGTAGCTTAGACCTTGGAAATGGTATAACTGCTGTGATCTTTGTAACTGTAAGCGGGGCGGCCTACGAACTCCTGTGTGAGTCTTGAAGCTGACTTCTGCTGATGGAAAATGCAAACTATCTTCAGTAAAACTTTTCTTTAATTTTTTATAATTCTGACTCCGGGTCTTCATTCTTCATATCTGGTCCTGGGTCTTTGACTGTACACCCCTTACAGTATCATGTCTATACAGAGTTTCTTTGAATAAGTGGGCCTATGTGTCAAACAACTTTTCATTTTTTGTTTTCGTTTTTTCAATTATCTAAATATCCCTTATGCAAGATAGCAGCAGGGATGTGCCCGAAGCCGTATACCTTATTCGGAAAGGCATAATGGCTTCAAAATGAATAACGAATTCTACCAAATAATAGGAAAAATATTCGGCACCATTCACTCCTCGTGTTTGCTGGATAACAGGTGAGCCAGGGGATAGCATAGCACTATATAATATGTAAACCTCTAAAATCACTAAGCAATAATGAGGCGTATATTTATGGACTACGTCACATCACAACGTCCATAAAGCTTGGCCAGTCAAGACTGGCTCATTTTGAAACGTGCTTCAGACACCGGCTTACGTGGAAGCGTTCCCCATAGCATCAGCTCATTGCACAGCGTCTCGTTCCCTTCTCAGGGAATCGGGTTGCATATACGTAACCTGATGCGTTCACTTCACAAGCAAAATTCGTTCTTTCTCTTCTTTACTTGTGGATAAACCTCACTAGATTTAATTATATTTATGCTTAAAAAACAAGAAAACATGATAAATTATATATATAAAAAATATAAATTGTATAAATTATACAGCTCATTATAATAAATGCAAATAAGATCAACTATACAGTATATTCTCTAAAAACAAGCCTTGTGCAATTTTAATTCTCAGTTAAATCTTTCTTAAAGGGAAAGTTCACTTTGAAATTAATTTTTGATATGTTTTAGCTTACCTCAAGGGCATCCAAGATGTAGGTGACTTTGTTTCCGCAGTAGTTTCAATTTTGATATTTTTAGGTCAAACCGTTCTTGTCTGTCAGTCATATAATGCAGGTCTATGGTCACCACCTCAAAGAGCATGCACAGAGAAGTCCAAATTAAACATGATTTAATGACTCGTAAATGTAAGTACACATTGATGGTCTAAGACAAGAAACTAGCGGTTTGTGTGAAAAAAAAAGAACAGTATTTATATCGTTTTTACCTCTTGTAAACACAGCCACGTCCAAGAGATCTGAGGGCGCGGGCGCTTCGGTCTGTGCGTTACAAGAGGTGAAAACGATATAAATACTGTTCGTTTCGTGTCTTAGGCCATCAATGTGTACTAACATTTACGAGTCATTAAATCATGTTTAATTTGGACTTCTCTGTGCATGCTCTTTGAGGTGGTGACCATAGACCTGCATTATATGACTGACAGACAAGAACGGTTTGACCTAAAAATATCAAAATTGAAACTACTGCGGAAACAAAGACACCTACATCTTGGATGCCATTGAGGTAAGCTAAAACATGTCAAAAATTAATTTCAAAGTGAACTATCCCTTTAAGGGTGTTAGATATTTTATTGGAAACGTAAAAATACTGATGAAGAAATGAACTTTTTGCTGTAAATGTAAAACAATCTATACATTTTATGATCTAAAGCAGATGATTTGGTGATTTTGCTTATACAGCTCTTATAAAGACACATTGATGAATCATTATATTGACCCATGTTTGACTGAGATTGTCTCTTTTGTATTTTGAGGGCAGCCTCTCGTTTATAAATAGAAAATAACCCAGAACATTTTGACCCAAAACAGTGACCCCAAGTCATCTTGTGTGGTTTTGTGCTTACAAAAATACTTAACCTAATTTTATTTTAAAAACTGTTGTTGATGAGTCAATCCTTTCTGTTTTTCAGCTTTTAGTTCATTAATTCTAATTGTTTATTTTCATACAGTTTTTTACCAGAAATACTGAAGTGAGTCAGCTGTGTATTTCCTAAAGATAAATATACACACATTACATATGAATTTCAAATTCATGTTCAGGTGGGAGCATGCCTTCAGATCAAAGGCAAAGCAATCAAAATGCTTTGCTTACCAGCAGCAGCTTTGATGTCTCCTCACAATGCTCTGAGGGCACTTGTATAATGGACAGTTTTCTTTTGCTTCACACAAATCTTTGGGCAAATGAAACGTATCCTAGAGTCATCTATCTGAGTCAGTCGCAGTCCATTCATCTGTTGGCTAAAAAAAGGCAGAAAGAACAAAAAGATAGATTATACTTTAATAGAGACTGTGCCATTAGTCATTTGACATCTCGTGGAATGGCCAAAATCATATTGCATGATAACATAACACTGAATTCCTCATGTCTATTTGTTGTCTCTTCATTCCACATTACTGGGCAAGACCAGCATGTTTATTATTCCTTTATCTAATTAAATTTGGCCCCATCTGACTTTTCGAGGAAACTGAACAGATATATGAATGCCATGCCTGAGACTCAGTTTAATAAGATATTGCATTATCATACCCCTCTGTTGAATAACAACAATGATCCCACTAAGTGATTAAATTATTTGACTATATTTCTTTATCAAATCTAAACCACAGATGGCCCGTTGGAGTGCATAACAATAAATTAAGAATTATTCTTGCACACATATCTTTAATAAATTCATGTGCTCTCATAATCTTTAACCAAGCATCAACATTTCTTCTCTTCCCTGATGACGTGTTTATTGGCAAGGGCGATCCAACGATACAATCAATTTCCGGTGGACAAAGTCCCGCCCTACATTTTTTCTTGGTAGAGAAGCCATTCCACTTGAATATACGTCACAATAGGGAAGAAAAGACTATCGCAACTGCCATTTCATGCCAATTTTAAATAGTTTTTTTTTACTGTGGACAGTAAAAAGTCAGAATTTCTACTGATGTCTATATAGAGATTGTTAAGTATCTGTCATCAATATTGTGAGAGAAGAGCAAACAGTTTACATTGTCACCATCATCTGGATTCAACCTTTGCTCGTATTGAAGAATAGAGGAATATTGAGGTCATTGTGACCCCAGCGCTACAGCATCAAATATCTACTGCAGACATCATTTTCTCTTTCAGTTTATAAAGTGATCTCTTCAGCTGTGTGTAGAACACCTGCCAATGTGTCACACACACAGACATGCAAAGGCATAGTTATAACCTAACCTAGCAGTTTGAACAACTTTTTTTTTCACTCTATGCTTTCAGCTCACTGAGATTTCAAAGCAAACATGAATTAGCCTACTTATAGATATGGTGTTTTCTTTTCTTACTGACGCACTATAATATGTTTGCATGTGTTGCAAGTTGCAACCATATATTTAGCATTTGTCTTAAACACTAATGATTTACAGAACACAATAAATGACCATATGACATTTTTGTCTTGTATTTTGGACATATTCATGGAAAGGACGTTAGAGAAGTGATAGGAAATCCAGGAGGCACATGAGCTAATCGCTAGGCCATGGCTCCAATGCATTTTCCCATTTTCACTGTTATGTCATTCATTACGCCAACTAGTTTCACATTCAAGAGCAATGACGCATTTACGCAAGTAACTCGGCACTTACTTATGCTGACACAGTTTGAATAACCATGTATGCCTCCACTTGGAGGACAAATAATTAAACTGTACTGACGGCCTATTGCATGTGTTTACAGCTAGATCGTCAATCTAACTAGAGTTTAGATTTTTTTCTGTAGATTGCAGCATTTGCAAATGCAAGTGCCATTAAGATGGGAAAAAAACTATGTATGCACTTGAAGAACAGAAGTGTTGTTCAAAATACAGAAAATGCCTGTATTTTAAGGACCTTTTCCCCTTCACAAGTATCTCATCTGCATTTGTTGAACAAAAAAGGCAAACCGAAAGAAACATTTTAGTAATGCATTGAATTTACCAGCAAATAATTATTAGACAAGGGTTTAGTGACTTCAAGCACACCCTCTCATCAACTGCAATTACATATAATTCACTGACAAGGAAAATTACCACCACACAGACTGTCAATCAATTAATCTGGTGCATTAAGTGTTAAACAACCACGGCTTGTGAAAGTGCCATTCAGACGAGCCTGTAACAAATAGACTTTAGGTGATTTCTTCTTTTGGGAAAACATTTATATGTAGGACTATTACATAATTACATTTATTAAACGCTCAGTAAACATACTGTAATTTGATGCTTTTCTCAATGTTGACCACAGTAAATGAGACATCTTTTATAAAAAAGAAACTATCTTAACCATGCTTTATTCTTTTTTTTTTTTTAATGCTGAAAAACAACAAAGGTCCATAAATAGCTTAATCGATCAATAAATAAATAAATAAATAAATATAATCATCAATGTCTTTAACAAACAGACTGTGTCAGAGTAGGTCCACAGAGATCTTTCTTCAGACACTGGAGATGGTGTATGTACAGTGGAGGTCTACACAGTTCATGTCAGGTATCAGGGCGGATCGCGGGATCGTTGCAGGACTGGCGCTGTTAACACGATGTGAAGGTCTTCCAGAAGAAGTTTTTGCAGGGGGCTTTGCGGTCGCGCTGTGGCAGCTGTGATAACCGGTTGTAGACGGCCCGTTCTTCCAGACGGGACTCCAGGGGCTCCTCCGCATCCATGGGGACCGGTGCTATCTCGCCAGCCAGCACGCTGTTGTCTACTCCATCCAACAGCCCAGAGATCAGCTTCAGGATCAGCTCCTTACGCTCTTTACTCAGCTCCTGATAAGGAAGAAACTCGACTTGAATTAGCATGCAAGATTTTTAAAGGGTTTCAGCTATTCACAATAATATGGCTACTGAAATGCCCCCAGAATGGTCTGTTTATTGGATGGCAAACATCAAGATGTGTCTAAAATACGTGCATCTGCTTGGTAAATCCATAAAAGCTACAACTGGAAACAATGGAAAACATAGAAAGCTCATTGCAGCACTCACCCTACTTTGTGCCAGGTTCCTCTCCTCCACTGGAAGCAAAGCTGCTGCTCTGACGCTATACAGAACCAACAAGAGAGACACAAGGCTGGCCAAAAGCTGCATGCTGACAAAATAGTTGAAGTTAAAGTGCGTAGAAAGGTCAGTCAGAGAAGCGAAGCAGGAACCTTCAAAGTCCTTGTAGCTCCTAGTGCAGAGTAAAGCTGGAGAGATCTTGGTCTTTGAGAGCTTCAGGTGGCGGGGTCCTTATATACCTCTCGTTCCAGTCCCCTACTGACGCAGCGGTTGAGGACGGAGGGGAGAGGGTGGGGGAGTGGGAGGCTTAGGAACCAACAAAAGCATTGAGTAGTTTAACCCCCCCAACAAACCAGACGTTGTGCCGGTGGGGAGGACTGCGCCACCATGCTCACGTCATAGCTCTAAAAATGGTCCTGATTTCAGTTCAAGCGGATGCGAGGAGAAAAAACACTGATGACGACGGATCTACCGATAACGTGAAGTGATTCTGAAAAGTTGTTTCATTGTTTATGCTAATTATCTATGAGGTGCGAAATGGCAGGCAGGCAGCGAATCATGTTTTAGAAAGTACACAGTTAGACGTACGCTGTAATTACGTGATGTTCTCACTTAGCTGCATTGTGATATCAATACAAGGAAATCAAACTAACCCATTTTGCTGAGTACAGTCAGTGGCAGTATGCTCTCGTTCCAGCGTGTAATTGAGCACAACTCCTCCCTCCTTCTCCTTCAGATTGCCATTGAACCGTCTGGCACCTGGAACAGCTGAGAAAACTGTCTTCGGGAAAAGAAGATGCTTTTGATCGGCAGATGAAAAGGGCCTGAATAACAAGAATTAAGTCTTTTATGGAAACGTAACCGCAGATCTCCCCATGTATATCAAGTATATCAAGTGAGACAAACATTAGCACAAAAAGCAAAAGAGATTATGGCTCAATACTCAATAGTGGCTCAATAGTCAACACTACAGCAGTAAATCTCATGAAAAAAGCAAATATAATGTAAAGACAAGTTAATTGCATGGAAACCGGTCTCTTAAGGTATAGATTTTTTTCAGTATTCTTTAAACAAAGCCCATTACAGAATAATAACAATTTTCTTCTCTTTAAAAAAGCAATGAGGCACTTACAATAGAAGTGATTACAGCCAATCCATAACATGAAAATACTCACTATTTCAATAGTATAGCTACTGGACATTAACAATCTGTATGTTATCAATTTCAGAGTGATAAAATCACTTACTGAACATTTCGGTGTAAAGTTATATCCAATTTTATTTACAACTTTGTTGCCATGATAACATAACTAAAATTACTATAAAATTGTGAGAGCTCAGACTTTAGAGCTCAATCAAGCAATACATTAGTTTTAACAGAGGAATTATGCTTTTATGAAATTATAAGATTCACATTTTTGCTTTTAAAAAATCCATGAATTGGCCCCATTCACTTTTATTGTAAGTGCCTCACTGTAACAAGTAACAAGGGATCAATTGAAATACATTTTCTTGTTAATCAGCATTAAGCTGCAAATTCTGTCGATTGTACTTAAGTTGTATTGAACCTGGAACATTCCTCTAAGTTGAACCTTATAACATGAACATAGCAGGCATTGCATAAACTATGTTTGAATATTAAAGTCGGCATGAAACGAAAATAGTGATAATCTTTTCTTTCCTATTGTGACGTATATCCGAGTGATACGCTTCTCGAACAAGAAAAGAAAATGTAGGGCAGGACTTGATTTTGTCCATCGGTAATTTAATTTTTTTTCTGTCCTTTCTTGTCGTTTTGTTGCTTATCATGTGAGTGACAGGTTGCTGGAGCGATTATTGTCCCACCCTCACGCTGGTGAACACGTCATCAGAGAAGAGAAATGAAGATGTTGTTGCAAGGAGCACTAATGTTTTGGATTACAGTCGCATGAATTGAAACAAACAAAAATGAATAATTAGGCCAACTGCAATTTTCATAAATTTGTCAAAATTGAATTTTCAGTTCATGGTGACTTTTTTTTTACACAGATAGCACTATACCAAAAGTGCTGTGCAGCATGCCTACGCAGTCTATGTGTATTCACATTGTATTCTGTAATTAAACCAGAATGAGAAATGGTAGCCTAGTTAAGCAGCGAAAATGAAACACATGCTTTGGTCATTGGCTCCAGTTGTTCACATTCTGGTCAGCTTTCCTGGCACCCACACACCTCTTTGGATATGCATACACACACCCCGACTGAGTACATGTAGCTAGAAGCCCTAATACACGCGTTTTAGCACATTTTTCACAGCAGACAGATTAGGGCAGACTTCAGGGCCCGGGGCTCTGTAGAGATTAACACAGTCGTGAGATGAGCGGGTGCCCCCAGCCGAATTGTGATAAAGTGCGTTTGAAGAATTCATGCCAATTGACCAATGCAACACACATCTGACGTTCACTTCCCAACCAACTTCAAACATATCTGGCGTCAGAGTAAAATGCCAATCCACATTCTCATGTTGTCTCAGCAGGAGTTTTGACGACTTCATATCAGGGTTATTCTAGAATAAACCATTAGAAAAACATTTTCGTTACTTGAAATAAAATAAATATGAACTTAAATAAAAACATTCAATTTCATCTATAGGATTTTATACAGTCAATTAGTTTAACTGGCTACAAAAATAAAACTGAAATAAAAATGAATTTATAAACTATATAAAATAAACTAATAAAAATGACAAAAACACACAATAAACTTACTAAAACGTTAACTAAAATGAAATGAAAAGGGAATTAGAAAAACTACTTCAAAATATAAATAAAAACAATTGTATCGGAATTATACTACAATAACACTGCTTCATATAGCCAATCATTTGAGGCAAACATTCTCACATGCTATTCCTAATAAATAAATAATAAAATAAATAATCTGCCAAAAACTTTACATTACAATGAACATGATTTACAATTATTACAATTACTTTATTCCTAAAATAAAAAGTTTAACATAGTTTGTATACCAGTTTTGCTGTGTTCGGTGTAATAAACACTAATACAACGTATGTACACTTTTCTAAAGTGCACATAGCGATGCATTTTATAGCCTAGTGAATATATTTTTGACAAAAGATGAAAGCTCAAAACAACTAGAGCAAGCCTGGTGAGGCAGTAAAACATGTAGTAGGCCATCTAAAAACGACAGTCAACAGCGTAAAACAAGACATAGGCCTACTTTTAATCGAGTAGGCTACTTACAATATGATGACGCTTTAACTGACGACGGCGCAAAAGGGTCGTTTTAGGTACAATTTCACATAAAGAGCACAGATAGAGCCCACAAATATTTACCTGAAAAGTGACTCCTGATAACCTTCAGAAACATATTTCATCCATGCGATCAAATAAAAGCAGGACGTTGGCAGGCTGAATTCACTAACAATGACTCCATCTAGTGGTTAGAAAGGCACTTTACAATCACTTGTCCATAGTCAAACAGCTGCATTTAATTGTTTCGTTGAACAGAAAATCAATACCAAATTGTGATTACACCTTTTTATTATTTCAAAACTATTTATGAAATTCGCAAAATGAAATTTACAACATGAAATGGTAAAAGTACAGATAAACCCTTCCACACAGTAAAACTTGACAGAGTATAAAATAGTTTGTCCTATGCAACTAGCCTTAAAAGACACATGATCATCTTCAGCTATCCAACATCCAACAACAGCTATCAGCTATTCGTTATTTTGTCCTGAAGCACACCTCCATAATTATGTTCAATATTAAGACATCTCAATGTAGTCCAGTATTTCTAATGTTAAAAGACACCTCAAAATCGTTCCATCATAGAGTCCATTGACCACAAGCATGTTTGCAATACACTCAAGAGCATATCACTCAAAATGGCTGCATACCAAACATCTATTTGCTCTACAAAAATCACATCATGTAATCAGAATTATTCATGACAGCCAGAACACACAAGTCAGTCAATCGGAGATCCATATGTCCACCTTTCACAGGGTAAAAATGAAAACACTTTTAGAGTAATAGTTTTAGAAATTATAACAATACTAAATAGGATTTCCTTTTGTTTGACAATGGTTAAGTGTTGATATACTGACCCATAATATGAAACCTTTATACCGCATGTTAAGAAAATGTAGAATTGTCATTGACCCGTTAAGTCTCTGGGTGTATAGAGAAGATATGCAGTTTATTTAAAATACCTGTGTTCTTATTTGAGTGAGTAATGCCAAACAAGCTCTGGTGGAACATTGTCCTGTTTTTTACGTTACTCAACACGAGTAAGAGAAAGTCCTCGTGTGAAAGTACTGTGCAATCGGTCACAGAACATGCATCATTTTCTGTTTGTATAGTTCTAAAGCTTTGATGTGGGAAGTGGAATTGTAAAAGTAAACCAAACAACTCAAAAGACTTGACAGAAGCACTGATGGAACTGGACAGAGAAACAGAGTATGTCCCCCACAGAAGGCATTTGCACTTGTAGCCATCCATTGACCAATCAAAATGAAGCTGGAGAGGGATGCGCTGTGGGAGCTACTGCGGCTGTGGTGAGGGTTTGGTTCTGCTTTCACAGAAGGCAGCTTGTTGACAAGATGGCACCCATGAAACCATTTACGCTTCACTTAGTACCTGTGTAAACAACGGGTCATTTCACTTTCCTTAAGAATGCAAAGTAAAGAGCAAAAGGAATAGAAAACAATGGGCTGCATCTCACCTTTCTGGCAAATTCTGGGAGGATGAATGCAGCACGGTGGATTTCAGGATTGTAATATTTCAGGCTCATGCTCTCAATTTCATCTCTTGTTAGTTCTCGTATTGGCTCACGGAAATTTGTTTTCTGCAATAAACAAATTCATTAATTACACATACTATTATTAAAATTATTATTATATATAAAAGTTTGGGGTCTGTACAAACTCTTATAATCACCAAAGTTGCATTTATTTGATCAAAAACACAGTAAGAACAGTAATTAAGTACAATTTAAAATAACTGTTCTCAATTATAATTTAAATATATTAATATTTAAAAATGTAATTTAATCCTGTGATGGCTGAATTTTCAGCATCATAACTCCAGTGTCACATGATCCTTCAGAAATCATTCTAATATACTGATTTGCTGCTTATTAAATATTTTTTTATTTTCAATGTTTTCAGGATTCAAATAGGAAGTTCAAAAGAACAGCATTTATTTGAAATGGAAATCTTTAGTACCATTATAAAATGTCTTTAATGTCATTTTTTTGGTCCATTTAATGCATCTTTGCTAAAAAAAAAAAAAAAAGTAATCTTAAACTTTTGAATGGTAGTGTATAAATGGCAACAACGTGTGTGAAAGTAATAAAGGAATTGTAAAGCTTTTCAAACAAAAGCCGTTATTAAAAGCTAATAAAACAGAAAAACCGTACCGGATTTTTACTGCAAAGCATGAAGCCGATTTGTCCACTCGGATATGTTGGAATGGTGCAGTATGCATAGTCCACTACAGGAAAGAGGGTCTTACAGAAGGTCCGCATTTCCTTTATTAGCTCCAAATGCAACCACTGACACTCTCCTGTAAAATTACAGCAGAAAATTACAAACATGCCATACATGCGTCACTAATATTCTTTATTTTGGGCTTTTTTCTAGAGCTACAATTATGTCAACCTTGACAACAAAGAATTCCTCCCTCACAAAGTGCCGTTTTCATGAGCTGATAGTAAGACTCTTTGAACAAGCTTTCAGCCGGACCTGTGACAGGGTAAAATGAGATCAGCCTGAAATGAACACCATGTTTTGTCTGGGAGTCAATGGCTAAATCATTATTTACCAATGCAAAAAAGAAACTTCAACGCCACAGTGGGCTGCATACCAACAGGGTCTGATGAGTCTGTGATGATGATGTCAAAGGCATCCTGATTCTTTTTCATAAATTCAAAGCCATCGCCTACATGCAGAGTAAGTTTGGGGCTGAAGAAGCCTTTTGCCATTCCAGGGAGGTACTTCTTGGAGACATTTATTACATCCTGGGAATAAATGTGATCCATGAAATTAATCAGCATTTTAAAGCATTATTTATATATTATATATATAAAGCTGGAAACTACAACATAGCGCAAGGTGCCATACATTATGATGAAATAATAAGATAAGATTGACCAAATGTAAATATATATAAATTAAAAGCAAACAACAGCCATGAAGGAAAACAAATGAGACTTGAGAAGGTCTTCAACACATAGATGGTAAACTGATGTTATATATTTTTTAAATGCACCAAGGCTGCATTTTATTTGATTAAAAATACAGTAATATTGTGAAATATTACAATTTTAAACCATTTTCTATTTTTAAAGGTAATTTATTCCTGTGATGGCAAAGCTGAAATTGAATTTCCAGCATCATAACTCCAGACTTCAGTGTCACATGATCCTTCAGAAACCATTCTAATATGCTGATTTGCCTCTCAAGAAACATTTCTTATTATCAGCAATGCTGAAAAGAGCTGCTTAAATGTTGTTGTGGAAACCATGATGCATTTCTTCAGGATTCTTTGATGAATAGAAAAGGTATCTTTAATGAAGAGAAAAAAATATTTTATAATGTCTTTACTGTCACTTTTTAGACATTCAAGACATAACTTGATGCAAACCTCATCAATCTCACACTGAACAACAGACTCAACCAGCGGATGCTTGACAACCTCCCTCAGGACGCCACCGTCTCCTCCACCAATGATGAGAACCTGACGACAAGGAGGAAAACAACTAAACCAAATACTGTAGCATACAGAAACTAAACACCCAACCAGTTTCAGTTCTTCCAAATCACATTTATATGAAGCACAAAAATAAAAGCACGCACCTTCCTTGGGCAAGGGTGGCAGCAGAGAGGTAGATTGGCGATCATTTCTTGATAAGAAAATTCATCTCGTTCTGTGCATTGGATGACTCCATCCAAAACCAGCACATTTCCATACGTCTTACTGTATAAAGAGAAGCAATGATGTAATCATTCAAGATAATCTTAATACATTAAGCAATGAAAAGGTATAGCAAACAGATGGAAAGAAGCACAACAGATCCATTCAATGCATTCTACTAAGCACTGCAACCAAGCATGTGACATTTGAGATGACAGCTCTGGCCTCTCATCACATATCCTATTGGGCAACACCTTGCATGTGCAAATTTAATTGATTTTCAGGCCAGAAACTAGAACATCAACCTTATGTTTGCATTTTTAACAGTTTGAATGACTGGAGTTACAGTTTACTGCCTCGAACCAGTGAGTAGATCACCAGTACAGCAGGGATAAGTGTTTAAACAGCAGAGAAAGGCCATGGACATGCTGTTCTTTTTGATATGTGCATGTATAACACTATTAAAGGTAATTATTATAGGCACAATTATCTATTTTTAAACGCTCTGACATATTATAATTGTTGCAATGTAATGGTTTACGTAAAATATACGTTGAAAGTACAAAACCAAGGCGGTCTCATAGTTTGAACACTCTGCCACGCCAGACCTACATCAGGCTTTGCAATTAGCCGGCTAGCCGCAGCACCCACAAAGCAAGACAGCCATAAGCCAACGTGCTGTTTTGAGTGGATTGACACCTCCGAGAAAAGTGAGGAAATCAATGCGCTCTCTGCATTAGTTGTGAGTGACCAATAGCTTCACGTATGCGCTGACAGAAAACACGGGGAGTTAGCAACGATGCTAAATTGAGCCACTTTGCACAATAACTCACCTTTTAAAAACCATCACGTCCTGGAAATTGGATTTTTTATGATACAACACTTCCTCCACTTGAAGACTCATCGCTTGGCCTGGCCATAATGTGCATGTCTCGGTAAACCACCCGTCTTTGATGCTGTCCATTGCCGGGGGGTTAAATCTGAGCAGCGGTGGGTTTAATCTGATCAAACCAGTCCACTGCAAGGAGTTACTGGAGATCTTGAATGCCGACTGACACGTTGGGCGTTCTCTGCAGTGCAACCGAACATAAGAAATAAGAGGCGACCAATGTGAGCTAGCTGACGTAATCAACAGTCATGAGGGCGGGGCATGTTTGTGCAAGCATGGTTGGGTTTGTGCCGGTGAGGGTTAGCCCACGTGAAAATGGGTGTTAGCTTCATGAGTGTGAGACTGAGTGAGTGAACCGTCAGGTGTGCTCTGCTTTGTCTATATTTAATGACAAGTTCAATGTGTCCTTTTTCTGGTATTTATTGTTGTTCCATGTAACATTTAGTCACAGTTGTGGCACCTTCCACGAATAGGGTACAAAATAGGCCCTGAAGCTGTTAAACATAGAAGCTATTTTCTAACTATTTTACTAATTTATTTTTCTTCATATTAAAAAGTAGAATGCTTTGGTATATCAATACGAGATAAAAAGTCGAATTATGGCAAAGTCATTATTATGACATACAAAGTAGAAATTATGGCAAACCAAAATTATGACATACTGCCCTGGTTTCACAGACAGGTCTTAGATTAAGCCAGGATTAGGATTTAGTTCAATTAGGACATTTAAGTAGCTTTTATAAACATACTATAGAAAAGAAACATTACTGGTGTGCATCTTGAGACAAAACAATGGCAGTGACGTATTTAAGACATGCCAGTGCAAATTGTTTTCAGTTAAAACAGCTCAAACATGCATTTTAGTCTGGGACTAGGCTTAAGCTTTGTCTATGAATCCTGGGGACTGTCATAATTATGAGATAAAGTTAAAAGTGACATACGAAGAGTGATAGACATACTAAGAGTGATAATTGTGATATAAAAAGTAGAAATGATGACATACTAAGTGCTAATTATGAGACAAAAGTCATGATTTTGTCTTTAAAAAGGGTCATAATTATGACTCATTAGAATAATTTAAATTTTTTAATTATGATTTACCAAAGGGATTCAATATGAAGAAAGGAGATGCTGTTCAGAAAACTTTGATTATCAACCTCAGAAAGTTTTATTTCAGATGGTTTATTTTTTATTTATTTTCTATGAGGCTTACTTTTGGGGATTATTGTAAAAATCATGGGAATAATGCCTATAATCCTGCAAAAAAAAAAAAGGTACCATATTTGTGGAACGTGCCATGAGCACATGACGCAAGCTCTTATTTTCAGTTTGAATACGGTTTACACATAACATATTTTCCCATGAAGACAAAAAAGAAAAAAACATTTCATAAATACTGATCATTACATTATACTGAATGAACGGATCATCCACAAGGCACACTTGACAATAGGCAGCTCATATGTTCTCTGTTGAGAGACAAAACATTAGCCATAACACTGATCTAGACTGTCCTGTTGACTGAACATGAAAAGCTGTTCATACACATCTAATATTCATAGAACAACTGAATACTTGCACAATCATGCATTCTATTTGGAACACAATATAGCAGACAATATAACAAGTAAACATCAATGATTAGCATTATGTTTTTAAAAGACACTTTTGATCAATCTCTCAGCTGTCTACCAACAAATTCAAATCAACACAACCTAATCATTAGGATTGGGATTGGCATCCGGATACTGGGAAAGATCAAAGGTCAGCACCTTACTGATGACACAATCTCCTTGCTGTGAATAAATGAAAAGGTTTGATATATTATTATTTTTATCATTTTAAATCAACTTAATATATAAACTGAAAAAAACAAAAACAATTTAGTTGAAGGCACGGGGTACAATAACAATATAATGATAGGTTGGGATGGGTTTTATTTCACTGGAACTCTTGTATGCGTTAACTACTTTTGATATGTTTATATTTATACAGCCTATTGCTGGAATACAAACCTCAGGGTAAACTCCTATGAGGGAGTCAGCTTTTGTGTAGAACTCCTCTTTGAGAGAGATAACAATGGCCTGGAAATTCTGGACTGACTGGTCCTTTATGTAGTTGGCCACCTGCAGGTTAAGAAGTTAAATACAAATGTTATATTTATGCCATTCAGTTAGTTACTTCCAACAAGTTAGCAAACACACACCTTGCCTATGTTGGTATTATCCAAAGCAGCATCAATCTCATCCAGGACAAAGAAAGGTGCAGGCTTGTAGCTATGAGGGAACGGAAATGCATTTTTTTTTCATCTGAAGGGCGGCCAAAACAAACTAGTTTACTTTTAAAGAAAAAAAGAAAAGTGAATGGCAAAAATGGCACCTGTGAATGGCAAAAAGCAGAGCTAAAGCAGCCACAGTCTTCTCTCCTCCTGACAGGTTGTCCATGGGCCTGAACCTCTTTCCTGGAGCCACACAGTTGTAGTTGATTCCATCTAAGTATGGTTCTTCTGGGTTCTCTGGCCCCAGGAATGCCTGAAAGGATATAGAGTATCCCTTAAATTAAGTTAGAAATCCTACTTGTGTTATTGTAGGATTATCTCTTAAAAAAGAGAGAGTGAGATCAGTGTTTTTATTAACCTGTGCACTGCTGTTACGTGACAGCGATTTGTAGATCTCATCAATGTTGGTGGCAACAGACTCAAAACAGGCATTGAAACGATCAAACCGCTCTTTCTTGATCTGCTCAAATGCTTGTTTGGCTTTCTTGGCTCTTTTTCGAGCAGCTTCAAACTCTGAAAGGCATATTAAAAGTAGATGGGTTATTATTTAGACCAGTGGTTCTCAACCAGGGGGCCAGGTGGGGTGCAAGATAGTTTAAAATGATTTGAAAGAAGACAAAATAAGCTTTGAAATCAAGATGTAAACGGACATCATAGTTCTTATTTTATCTTTAAAAATTTCAAAAACTGAAAATTTTGTTCGATTGCTCGCTTTCGGGTTGAGCTTTCCGCGACTGCGCAACTGGGGTATAGGTTGCCAGGTTGAGATGACAAACGGGTTGAAATTGTATATGATGTGTGGATTGTGTGAATATAATGCTGATCTGGCAACTGGTCAACATTAGACAAACATATTGGTCCGATTATTCATAAAGGAGTTTGGGCCATGCAAATTACGGGAGTTTCCCGGGAGAAATAACAAACCGGGAGGGGTCCAGGAGATAGGGCTAAAAAAACGGGGAAACCCGTGAAAAACGGGAGTGTTGACAGGTATGAATTACGGAATTTAATTATTTGAATTATACAATAATTTTCTTTATTTTATTTCAATATATTGCCACTCCTGATTTCTGTATATTAATAAGGTTAAAAGCACCTTTGTCATTACAGCAGAAGTATCAGATATATCTCAGGGGACCGTCGAACATGAGGGACTTTTGAATAATGTCTTGGCCAATGGGGGTCTTGGAGTCAAAAAGGTTGAGTACCACTGATTTCGACTCGACATACTATTGTCACAGGTCACAGATTTCTCAGAGTCAAGATTAGCTAGAGAGAGATGAGCCTGGACTTTTGGGCTCACCATCACTGGTCTCCTGGAACTTGTCTCTAACGCTCTCGAGTTTCTCCATGGCCTTCATGTTGGGAGCGCTGATTCTCTGCAGGATGCTTTGCTGCTCGTTCAGCCTCTGCTGTAGGGTGTTCATCTCTGCCTTGATCTCTTCTTCTGACAGAGAATCCTTTAGAAAGGTTTCACATAGCTTTTGATTGTTCCATGTTGCTTGTCAAACAACCAATTCATAATATTTCATCAATTTAAATTACCTTGAGGTCCTCATTTAAGTTGCTGTAGTCAATCTCTATGAGGGCCTCTTTGGCATGCACAGAACTTGATGCCTTCGGGCTGCTGATCGAATCCTCAACTTGCGAGCTTCCCTATGTGGACATATCGGTGTGTATGTCTGTGATTGCAAAAAGCAGTATGTGTGAGAAAAGTATGTGTTTGTCTGTACCTCTCCCTGGCTGATGTCATCCATTGTCCCTGATTTGAGGGGTAGTTTGATGTCCTGCATCTTGCAGGCTTGCAGTAAGTTGTGTCTGTCACTGCGTTTCTGTTCCAGTTTGGTCTCAATGGCGGTTACTTCCTTCTGCAGCTGCGTCAGCTCTCTAACATGACAAACATGTAGAACATTACATCAATATTACACTACATGCATGCAACCAGCACAAACGAAATTATTTTACATAAATCTAAATGTAATAAATGATAATCTAGTAACTTTACATTTGAGAAGATCTAAAGAACTAAGAGAATATGAATATTTCTCACTTGTTGGCAGACCCTAGTTTCTTACGGATCTCCTCCATCTCTCGGTTCTTGTCATTGACCTCTCCCTTCTTAGTGAGATGCTGGTTCTTCAGGTCCTGTAGCTGTGCCATTGTCTCATCAATGATTTTCATATGTCTGTGTTCCTCCTGAGGTGGTGGGGAATGACATGTTTAGTCTACTGTTTAGTTTTTCATGCTAAAAGATTTGACTGATTTGCTTGTCAAGACTTTTTTCTCCTCTATTCTCGGTCACCTTTTTAAGTCTTTCAATCTCATTCTCATCCTTCTTTACAGTCTGTTCCCACATCATCACTTTCTCCTGGTCCTCCTTCAACTGGTTCTTCTCATAATCAAGCTGGATGGCCAGACGGGTCTTCTGTGTCTCAAACTCCAGCCTAGAATTGCCATATAACACAAGTTAGATCATTACAGTCCACTGAGGAGTTGGTAACCTGTATAGTATATTGTCCTTGAGAGGGTTACCGTTTTTTGGCAATCTCATTTTGCCTCTTCACTTTTTCCTCTTCAAACTCTCGGATATTTCGCACGCCAATCTCCTCACAGAATTCAACAAAGACCTCATCCTCCACCTATAAATGGCCATAACAAATAATCATTATTAGAGCATTATTACAGATCTGGTTGCAATTCAAAGCAACATTTTTACAGCATTTCAAACGTCTTCATTTTCACCAGAGCTCTTACCAGGTTCATGCGATCTCTTAACTCGGTAATGTCCCTCTCTCGTGATTGGATGATTCGTTTTATGTCATTGATTCGTGGGCCAAAATTTGCCAGCTCACTCTCCAACTTTGATTTCTCCTATAATGACATACACAGATTTTGACAAACACGTTGTAACACCAATGACAACCCCCTGTATTTTTTTAAGCCATTCATCTGATTCTCTATATTTTGACGTCCCGTCTCGACTGAGGCGTTGTTGCTCAGGTGTACCTGCAT